ATGAGGCTGGTGAAATACAACCGCAATAAGGTAGTATAAATCAGACTCCTAACTCGTCTCACTATCGCGATCAAAATTCTTAAAAGGTAAAATCTGGCTGATTATTTTATGCACACGTATAAATATAGCCGCCTGCTCAATTGGTATTCAACGTTCAAATCAATAGTTAACGTTCGAATCAACCATACGCGATTCCTTTGCCAACATTTCGACGAAACTTTGGCCGACCAACTCAGGCAAATACTTTAGCAGCTTCGAGTAGCAAATCGTATGCTCTACAAAATGGTATCGTGAGGAAGCATGGCGCTGTCTAAATCAGACTGTTTCTCCGGGCCTGGCCCGGAGTCGGAAGAATTTTTATCCGTTCAAAATTGCTACATCAATAACATGGATTCGAAAAATTTCTTAACATTAATATGATAATGTTGTGGACAAATTTTAGTTATTTATAATAGCTATTAAATGTATGACAAGTGAATAAGTATGAAATTGGTTGTTAGATATCCTGCGCGCACGTTGATCGATTTTGTATATAAACTATCACACTCAAATACTCAGCTGGCATTTGTTGGCACAATATATTCTTGATCCCAAGCATTGGAGCTAAATAGTTTGAGCTTAACATAAAATAAATATATATAAAAAAACATTTTTAAAAATCACGTTTTCTGGTGTTTACAAAACTAAAAACAATGAAATAAAACAAATAAAAAAAACTGTTTAAAACCACGTTTTCTTAACGGACAAAAAAGAAAAACATTAACTCTTACATAACATTAAATAACATTCTACATAACTTTAATGTTATGTAAGAGTTAATATTTTTCTTTTTTGTCCGTTAAGAAAACGTGGTTTTTAAAAGTTTTTTATTTGTTTTATTTCATTGTTTTTAGTTTTGTAAACACCAGAAAAACGTATTTTTTAAAAAGGGTTTTTATATTTATTTATTTTCTACTTTTTAGTTTAGCAATTTTAGCAATTCAAATCATTTTTCAGGGTTGGCAATTCTGGATGTTCGACAAAAAAACTGGATTCCCAAAGCGTGAATTTTTAGTTATTTTTTAATTAAAAAAAATTTGAAACTTATTACTTCTGATGATTAAATCTTGAATTGTTAGGCGGCATAAGCATGCATGCCAAATTTCAAGTTTCTAGGATCTTCAGAAGTGCTCTAAATTAAGGTTTGAATTTTTGATAGACAAACAGAGACGAAACGAAACTAAAAAAAAGTAGTAAAATGAAATAATTTAGGCCTCTGCACAGCATGCGATATAATTTAGGTTCATAAGCACAGTATCACATATCCGTAATTCGAGTGGCGGATTACGTTCTTTTGGTGATAGCATCGTGAGGAACAAGAGTAGAATAATGGGACTAGGCGGTTCTCTTAAGAGCAAACTTCTCGAGCACAACAGCACAGGCGTTGGAAAACTTTCACAATGAGGAAGTTTCGCGAGACCACTTCAACTTGATAAGGACTTTACTGCAGGCCGTGCTGGTTCTAATTGCCTAATGTACAAAGAGATTGCGTCTTGATAATGATTGTTGATGTGCGGGTGCAGAGACCCTATTTGATTCTAAGTTGAAATAATTTCAAAAGTTCCTGTAATAAAAATATTAACTCGAGAGCCTACTGAAAGAAGCCCTTTTATTAATTAAACGTCTCGTTTCAAAATCGACGGTGGTTCACGCGTGCTACGCAGGAATTACAGTAGATCGTTATTCCGGCACACCGGTATAAAGCTAATTCACCACACTCACGCGTATCTGAAGTTGCAACGTGACCGTGAATTTACTATCATTCAAAAGTGGGATATGCACGTGCATGCACGTGACCTACTGATAAATATGTCCACTTCTGAACAATGCTCATGGATATGTGCTTCGTTTTATTGCTACACGTGCTCATTTCTAAACCTGATTTCTAAACCTGTAAACCTGACTGTATTGTGATCACCTGAAACTACAACGACTGCATGGGCAGCATATACGATCGCCGCGACTGCCTGTAATCGTAGCGGTGCATCGGTTGCTAGGCACGCTGTACTCTCAACGTATTGAGCACGTCTATTATAGCACCTGTTGCTATTTCCGTACTGATGATGGGAGAATAAATACAGGTTTGCTCTTCTCTACTTCGTTGAAACACTAATCATGAAATAGTTAATGTCGTATATCTCTGATTTTAAGCTAAATTTTAGATGAGAAGGCTTTGAGTCTACGAATTCTATTTAAAAATCGTTTGAGAAAAAATTATTTTCCAAGCGTGGAATAGTCTCCGACGTATCAGTGATACCAAACGAGTCAGAAAAATATTTAGTCAAATGTTTACAAAAAAATGTATGCTTGTCAACGGAGGCAAGAGAGGCAGTCCCAGCACTTTATTATAATATTTTTCACAGCCCACGGCATAGTAACGCAGCACTGATAATTCCGAGAGTGATGTAAACTTTCCCGATAAGAAGACTTTGAAGCTTGGCATGCAAATTTCACGCATACAGTACAGGGCAGGGGTTCCCAAATTGGGCATATGATCCTTTGTAAGGCGTTTTTATTTAAATTCTAAAGGTTAAGGTGAGATATGAAGTTGGTAAAGTTCTTGATTAAGGGTAATGATGAAGTTTAACGCAGCAAAGTGATTAATTTAGTTTTGGAGACATGAAAAGGTTTTCATGCCAATTCAGACATGTTGAATTATGTTACAATGCGAAAATGTTCGTCAACCCAAAATATATATATTACCGGGGAGCAGGCTCACCACGGCAATCGATCAATTTGATATACAGGTGAGGTCATATGTTATTAGATTATTGCCATACATATTAGTTCATAGTTTTTTCTATTGAACAGACATGCTCGAGTTCCGTATAAATTCAAAATATATTGTAGATGGTGTGAAATTAATGTTTGCGAAACAAATTAACTCGGATGCGCTAAATGATAGAATCATCATTGTTCATCAGCATCATTGCTCCTAGAAAAACTTGGGACTGATCGACGTTTTTATAACAACTCAGCAACATCATAAGGCATTTTAAATAATGGTCCTTCAAATAACTTGTATTACTATTGTTAAAGCCCCAGCTTATTTCAAAGCCTTTACATTTGGCTATTTATGGACAAAATTGTTATGGAAAGGGGTTTTAGTTTTTCTATTTTTTCAGATCTCGGCTGATGTTTTCCTATTGATTTTTAAGTCATCGTTCATTTATTTAACTTTAGCATAATATGTTGAGAGTTATAAGAGTTCTCACACGTGAACTTGGTAGCTTATTTCAGATGTTATTTTCTAGGAGTTGCAGATTCATTCTTAACTGCATTCAGAAATTCGCGTCGACTATCCGGATGTGCCATGATAGCGTGAATAAATTTTACAATTATCATCAATTGTTTACTGAATACTTAGTAAATTTCTTAGATTTTCCAATGAAACATGATTATTAAAAATGATTATTCTTTTTTTTAAAGCAAAGATTACCACAGTACAACTTTTTGAAATGCTTTAAAACAGTCGAGCTGACGTCACTCACCTCAAAGCAATGTTCAAGGGAGAATTTGGGGTTGTTATGCAAAACATTATCTGTGTGATATTTCTTACGTGTGGAATGTCCAAGTATTTTCATTTCAAACAAAAAATAGTTCTCTAAATTTTTATTTCTACTAAAATCCCCAACCAGAAAAAATTTTGCAATATAAATTCTCCGCACAATATAAATTATCCGCACTTCTTCGAAGTTTCCATTCATGCGAAAATTACTGTAAATGTTGACATCATTTCAGCCTCTTAACTCTATAAAAATTCACGCGGTGAAATCACCATCGCACATTGCAGTGCTTTTTCTGTTCAAAATATGAAATAATTTTTGCCTATCAAGACTTTCACTTCATTTTCACTGCTCGAAAACTGAAGAATAAAATAATGAGCCGCTAACATTTAAGCATAATAGTCAGTGTTTTTCAACAATTAAAAAAATCTTCACTCAATTGAATAATATTTTTTCTTGCTACCTTAGCTCCAACTATATTTTATATTAATTATATTAATTAACTCCAACTATTAATTAACTCCAATTAACTCCTATTAATTATATATTAATATATATTAATTAACTCCAACTATATTTTTTCTTGCTACATTAGCTCCAACAATCGCCTCAGCGCCTTGAGTCCAACGCAATCCCCCATAACGACTGAATTAAACTCCGCCTTCGGATTATTTGCTTTACTGCCGTGATTGTCTGGTCTCGGCACGATGTTGATGATTTCCTGCTCAGTGCATCCCCTAGTCAATCCATTGCATTTTATTGCAATCCATTGCATCTCTAGGATTGCATTTTTTATTGTAGTTTTTGGCAGCGCTCGTTATAATCCTACTATTATTTATTATGTTAAATTAAAAAATTAAATATTTAGAGCAGGGTGGCTCGCTCACAGCTATCCCAACTGCTGCTGTTACGGTGTTCTTGTTGTTATTTGCATTTCATTTATTGCTGTCGCTCCATTATCCCATTATTTGTTAATGGAGGTACATGGTCGCACAGCCATTTATTTTATCCTATAAATATTAATGTGAAAATTTAAAAACATTTAATGACATTTAATGCTGTCTGACAAGCCTATCCTTTATTTTAATTGTGGGTGGCTTTATTACAACATTACCCTGTTATCTATGCCTGATGTTGTTGTAATACTTCGCAATTCCATTTACGTATGTTCCAATTTAGTTAAGTAAGTTACTTACCACTCACAATAAATATTACTGAGCCTTATTTTGCATTGCGATTGCTAACATTTGCCTTTAATATTACTTATAATTTCTAGTAATATTAATCTAATATCTAAATAACTAATAATCTGCACATCTAATATTGCCTACAAATTTTAATTAAATTTTATTTTTTTCAGATTGTAACTTGATGATATATAACTGTTAATTGAATTTCTTGTTGGAATAATCAACTGCATAATCTTATTTCCCATTAAAATGCTAGTATTGTTACCTTGCCATATATGGGCAGGCAGACCGCTATGTAGCGCTCTATGGTGAAGGTCACAGTCAGCCAGATGGAGGTGCTGCCTGTAAAAACAACAAGAACGTTTGAGCAAAAATAACACACTAAAATATATCGAAAAATATTGTGCTAGAACCTTGCTAAAAAATCTTCTAAACTGTCCTTTAACGTTGAATATTGTAATGTGTAAAAAAACTAATATTACTTGCAAGGAGTTGAAATAAATCAGAATTTAATTTTTTATGTCTCGATATGTGAACATTTTAAAACAAAGCGATATTATTGAAGATATTAATAATTTGAATTTTGTTCCTTTTTAATCTCCATAAAATAGTTGGGCGTTGTAAATAAGAGGGCAATGGAAGAAAAAATATAATTTTTCAATGTACGGTATAGTGGCTGGTTTTAGTATGCCAAATTCATGAATAAAATACTTCTAATTTATACATATGTAAAATCTAACCAAAAGTATTTAAATGTCATTTGTGTCTAGAATAAATTTTTCTTCATGAGGTGAGAGATGCAATTCAATTTTTTTGTCGAATTTCTTTGTGTGCTCAAATATGAATGACTTGTATATATTGTCCCCTAAAATAATTAGTTTTTAGATAAAAATGTATTAATTCATTAATTTGTTATTCAGAAACAGCAGACATCCTCTGAATTGTAACGTCATCAATGGATTACTGTCTGATTTCAGTATGATAGATGCACACTGACCAAGAAATTTTGCGATTGTTAATTTACGGCTCTAAATGCATCTCTTAAAAAGAGAAAACACATTCTCAATTAAAACACATTCTCTAAAAAAACACACTTACTCAATTTCGATGCTGGTATGAAATGAAACGCTGCTCACAGGTCATCTTTATTCAGCATTTGAGGTCGTTAAATTTAAACAACAAAGGGTTGCCCGAGTTGGCTTAAGGCCTTCATAAGAAAGATGGTGTGGTCGGCCAGCTGACGCACTGCAACTCTTTAAAAGTTTGCTCGTTTGCTGCCGTTGAAAGTCAAGTGGCCAAGCTACACGCCTGCGCCGCGCCAGGCCGTAAAGAACCTAGCCTTTAATCTGCTTGCTCAATTGCCAGTCCTGATTTACTTTGAGTTCTAAATGGAGCTTAGGCTAGAATGAAGCGATGTAGTCGGCACCAAGGAGCAGCTTACTTCAGATGTTTCTTAATTTTCTAGAATCACTGTACGGTAAAAAAATATAACTCAGTACTCATTGCAGTGAGTAACAGAGAGCGCATTTTCTCGTCGACGAAAATGTGAAGTCACGGACGGGCGGACAGACGGACGGACGGACGGACGGACATGGCGAGCACAATAGCGCCTTTCTTTCCATAAATGAGAAAATGCGCTAAAAATTAGATCAGTACTATCTGCAGTGAGTGACAGAAAGGGCATTTTCTCGTCTGCCCGTCCGTGAAATCACAGACAGACAGACGAACAGACGGACGGACGGACATGACGAGCACAATAGCGCCTCTTTTCATAAATGAGAAAATGCGCTAAAAATGAACATAAAATATATAAAAGAACTTTACGTACTTGTTAAGACATTAAAATACTCACTAGAGGCGTCCGCAATCCAGTAGGCGTACTTGCAGTAGTGCCAGTAGACCCAGTGTCTTGGGTGACTCATATTCGGGTGATGCTTCAGTGATAACGTAAATACACTGAAGAGATAAAGTAAGTCGGACGTGGCGAGAGCCGTCAAGTAAGTGTTGGTTGAACTTCTCATACGAGGCCGTGACAGCACCAAGATGGTTACCGTGTTCCCGACAAATCCAATAATGAGGACCATGGGGACCAGCACTTTCTGTACCCAATACCGGGAATCTACCATGAACCGTCGGTATGGTTCGTAGTCATCCTCCCCGTACTCTGAAGACACTTCCGAGTAATTCACTCCTTGGTACGTATTGAAGAAACTTTGTTGAGCTGAGAGTGTATGTTTTGGGAAGCCGGTAGCGTTTGACATGTTAAAAAATGACTCTCCAAAAGAATGGTTTGATTGTTCCTGTACCATCATCGTGTAGGCTTTTTTAATTTGAAAAATGTCTGCACTGATCACTGCAAGAAAAATATTCGAAATATATTAGGTGCAGAGCTGGGCAGCGCTACTTTGAAATGCAGCGGCCGCTACCGCGTCCTCTACATGCTCTAAATGTAGCGGGCGCTACCGCTACCGCTACAATTGCTTAAATGTAGCGCCGCTACCGCTACATGCTCTAAATGTAGCGGGCGCTACCGCTACAATTGCTTAAATGTAGCGCCGCTACCGCTACATGTAGCGCACTACTGCCCAGCTCTGGTAACAACTAACATGTTGACACTAGTAACAGGCTGAGGTTGACAACATTACACCGAAATCTTTCGCACAGTTTTATTCTGTAATTTATATTATGTATGTATCATGCTGGTTTTTAAATAATATTTAATATTATTAAGTAAAATCTAAAGGCTTATCTATAAATGTAGCGGTAGCGCTGTAGCGGTAAAACCTCGTATCGCTACTTTAATATGTAGCGGGCGCTACCGCTACAGCTACAATTGCTTAAATTTAGCGCCGCTACCGCTATCGCTACTGAAAATGTAGCGGCCGCTAGTAGCGGCCGCTACATATAGCTCGCTAATGCCCACCTCTGATTAGGTGTTACTGTCTAAGTATTCAAACTAATGTAAAGAGACACGAAGCTTTAATGGTAGTTTTTATGGCATTTTTTCAAAAATTATAATACATTTTCGTACCACGATTAATAAATTATATTACATTGATATATGCACTTATAATTAATATTAATATAATTTTGATTCAATTTTGTAATTCCCCCAAGGAGTTATACACGACATTTCTTTCAGCGTTCGTGCCTTCAATCGATTATTTGACTGTGCACTGGTGACTTGCAAGTAACAATTTCTTTCAACAACATTGAGTAAAAATTCTGACCATATTGATCACCACAACATGATAAGTGCTGCTCTGCACTCACACATTCTGTAGTTCAGCAGTGTTCTAATATATTTTTTCCTCCCTCATGTTTTTTTTTCAATGAAGTTTTTTTTTTTTCAATGAAGTTTTTTTTTTTTGGTTAACCATTCACCGCTCACGTACATCATTGCAAATGCAGCGTAATATGTATATTTTCCAGGCGTATATATCACAAGCTCATGAGAACTTTATGCTTCGATCTCGCTCCGTTTTCTTAACCAGTCATGTGAAACGATATTTAAGGATGAAATTCACAAATTTCGCATCTATTGTTCACGTAATAGTCTATGAAATATCGGTTCCATTTTAAAACCAATCGGCTGAAGCTCGGTTCCGACTCCGAGACTCGCTCGATCGCTTCCGTTCGACCGACGCTTCAGTTGCGCGCTGGTGCTTCGTCAGCGCCGAGATTTTCGTCAGCCCTTCGGTGTGAGACTCGCAACCTCCCGGCATGTCACTGCGTGGGTTTTTAGAGTCTCTTTTTTCCTTTCATTTTTTATAATAAATGTTTCTCAATTCAATAGAAAATATAATGTAAAAAAAATTTAATTTTGAATAGAGATCATACATGTAATTTATAAACAATGAAGTGCTGGAAAAGTGTGTCTTAATTTTTTAATATAAACAGTTATTATCACACGCTAAAATTAAGATGTAAATAATTTCAGGGAATTCAATCAAAACTATGAAAATCTGTAAGGACTATATAATGAATCGAGTAATCATGTTCATCTAATTTTGATAATTAATTTTCAAAGAGTGGATTTACTTTTTTATTGGAGATTCTGTTATTACAGTAGTTCCGTTTTTCAGAAGTTAATATAATAAAAATACAACTCAGTACTCACTGCAGTGAGTGACAGAGAGCGCATTTTCTCGTCGACGAAAACGTGAAGTCACGGACGGACAGACGGACGGACGGATGGACGGACGGACGGACGGACGGGCGGACATGGCGAGCACAATAGTGCATTTTTTCCATGAACGAGAAAATGTGCTAAAAATACGAACCCGATAAAACACACTCATTATATTCAAAAATTTTCAGTTCTTCCAGCTCAATGAGGCGACTGAAAGAAGCCTTGAATTTGAACTCAAAGCGTCACGAGCTTATTAAAAGAAATTTTCTCACGCAAATAATGGTTGTGAAACTACCTTTCGATAGTGTAACTACTAAAATTTGATTGTTTATAAGTACAAACTTTGATGGGGCAAACAAAACTTCTTGAGTTGCCGATTGCAAATTTAATTTTGTTATTGACACGCAACGAGAACTATTCTTAATAGCAAGTTTGAAGATATTCTGTCAAAGAAACTTTTTTCAATTATATAAATTATCTGGTCAGTTTCCGGTCAATTTCCAATTAAGTTTCAAAAGCTTTTGATACGATGTTTGCTCTTCAATTTGCATATTTAAAAGCAATAAAGCAGGTTAATAACCAATTTATAATCAATCATGCTTCACTTACCGGAATTCCGTAAGAGTTCATCATTTTTGATTGAGTGTTAGCTGTCAAAAATTATGAGTAAAATGAAAGGAGAAAAATTTAGAATCGCTTCACGAAACTTCTCGTACATGGCAAATTATTATGTAACGTGCGTTCAGCCATTCTAAAATTACAATTTTCTGTGGAATGTCTGGACTCCTGGTCTTTGTTATAAAATTGCTACGGGAGCGGAAAAAATCGGCAAGGCTTACGTCAGACTTTTATTCTTAGAAGTGGAAGAGGCTAGACTTCCTCTTTTAATTCTGAAAATATTTCGGACCTAACACTGAGTAGGCTTTAAGTTAATGTGATGTAAGGCGTAGTAAACGCTGCATGAAGTAATTTTTTGAATGACAATGTCGCCAAGTGCAATGAGCCGACACTCACGTGAACATCCAGGAAAAGCTTAAGCCACTAAAAAATGATCAATAAAGGGACTAGTTATATTAAAAATAGGACTCCAGATAGAAAAAAAAGTATAATAAGACATAAAATTTAATAAAAAACGTTGCCAACATACCTGTTTCCAGAACTTGCAGAATTGTAGACACGGTTATCTTAAATAGTTAAAGACAAAAATTTCTGCGATGTTATCAATAAATTACAGCAGTGCAAGTAGGCTGGCAGTTTCGACTCATGTTCAAGGTCTGGCCAGGCAATTTGTTTGAGTCTTGCAGGCCTTTTATGAGGAACTTACCCTGAAAAGTTATCTCGAGGGTATATTTTTAGTGTAGAACTTGTCGCTATGGGAAAAATATGGCGACGAACTGTCGAAGATGAGAAACTTGTTGACGTGAGTCGGTAAAAAGGTTTATTAACATTGTCGAGCGTTAACGAAAAGAATATGACTTGTTGACGTGCGTTGGTGAAAAGGCTTGTTGACGAGCGTTAACGAAAATTATTTTTTGACATGTGTTGGCGAAAAGGCTTGCTCGTGTGCGTTAGTGAAAAGGCCTGTTGACGTGCGTTAGTGAAAAACCCTGTTGATACGTGTTGGTGAAAAGTCATGTTGACGTGTTTTAGTGAAAAGGTATGTTGACGCGTGCTAGTGAAAAGGTTTGCTGGTGTGCGTTAGTGAGAAGGCCCGTTGACGTGTGTTGGTGAAAAAATCAGTTGACGTGAGTGTTAGTAAAAAGGCTCGTTGACATGCGTTGAAAATAAAGGCTTCTTACTTTTACCAACAAAATTGCTTTTTGATAAAAAGGGTTTGGCAATAAAGTGTTTTTACATGTACTGGAAAAATGGATTGTAGACAAGCATTTACGAAATGTTTTATTAGTTTGCTTATGTCGACTGGCGCTTGCGCAAAACTGAGTGGACGAACATTGATATTTTGAATTGTTGAAGATGTTTAATATGGAACAATTTTCATGAGAACTCGTAGAAAATATTCTTGATGATGGTCAATAAAAGCAGTTTAATGCTGTTCAGAAATACGATTAATGTGTTCAATCGAACAATATTTTTGTGAAAAAAATAATAAGTAGCTGGCAACATTCACGTATCTCTAAGTTTGATTTCTCTTCTTCACGCGTGACCTAAGTATTCATCATACGAATTTCATGGTAATTTAAATGACAAGCGTACTAGGGTACCTCGCAGTGCGGCATTTGCTATAGGCCTTTCGCACCCAGAAATGATTACTCTCACCGAAAACTTAATGCCTTCAACAAAAGCTGGCGTAAGGCTTAATTTTTTAGTTTTAGCTGCTCTTTGATGCCTTGCGCTGTTTGAGTAATGCATTGGGCGATGCCATCCACCAGAGCAAGAGAATTAGTTTAGACTTCTGCTCCTTGGTTCAAATGATTTTTTACGTGCATTTGGTACGGCTGCACTATAGGGTGGAAGATTCTGATCGGAGTCCAGTCCGGAACTGACTTAGAAGGAAAATTCAGTAAGGAAGCAATCAGCGTTCTTATTCCGTTTTCAGCACTAGTAATTTTAGTAATAGACACGAACAATATCGAATGAACTTGACATAAAACATGTTGACGAATGTTGTCCCAAAACATGGTAATGGTGTTGAATGGATTGGTACAACCAAGTTGAATTTTTGATTGCTGCAAAAATGAGGAACATCTTGCCAAGCTTTCTCTAAAAAGTTGTTGAGCCGCAGAAAAAAAAACTATCGAACTTTTTGAGTTTTTTTTTGCTGAGCGATTGCGTCAGCGGACCAAGACAAAATTTTGTTTGATGTGCCATCACAAAACTGGTCTGCCCAGTATTAAAAAAATGTCACTTCGATGAGATGCACAAACAAAAACTGACGCTATAATAAAACAGTCGGAAACCAAGACCACATTCTTAGACTAGCGTTGACGTGTAGCTATGCAACGGAGTCTCATTGCGACTTTTCTACGAGTATTAAAACTTGCAACAGGAGATAAGAAAGAGCTTCTATCATGTCTAAATTCAGTATTACATGCAGTCGAGCTTTAGGTAGTAGTTCCTTATGAGATTAGATAGAGAATCGCTTTTCGGAAACGGAAGTAAGGAAAATTGCTTAT